TCTTCCATAGACGTAGGAAAAGCACCTCCATGATTTATATTTAAAATGTGTAAGATTTTCATCTTAAGATTGTTTATAAGCTTGTAAAGATTTGCAATAGTTACAAATCTATCCTTATTTTTACTAAGAATAACATCTATAATTTTTTCTTCTATAGAAAACTCAAAAAAATTCAAAAAATTAAATTAAAGAATAATAATCTACAACCTCCTATATTAAATGAAAATTTCCACAAAAAAAGATAATTCATTATTTTTAGGAAAAAAATTAAAAATAAAAAATTATAAATTAATTTAAAGATGGATGGTCTACAACCTTCAAGAACAAAACAATAGAAGTATGGTAATTCATTCACTTCCAAAACAAAACATGGACAATGAGTTAGGACTCTTGTCAAACTATCAAAGATATGAATCTTAAAGAACTAAAAGATCAATATAATCTTATGACACTTAAAATTTTTAGAAAATCACTCAAAGATGGTAATATATTAAATTAAATTAGCTATTATTATAGAAAAGAAGACTAAAAAGACTTAAAACAAGACTAAAGACTAGAAAGGCATTGACAAGAGTAAAGAAGACTTTACTCTTCCCTCCATATATACACTATCTAACAAGGAGCTACATAACAATGTTCTATAGGATATCTAACACGTGTTGACTTTGCAAGAAGCATGTTTAACTTGCAAATCAAGTTTTTTATATGTGTGCCATATAGTTAGCTTGTTTGACAATTTACCAATACATGTGGCATGTAGCTAAGTTGTCGACCAAGTTTTTAACCTACCAAACAATTAAAAATATATATAAAGTCAAAGTTGCATCTATAAAGCTTTTAAGATGCTTTTTTAAAAGATACTATAAAATTAATTTACTTTTACCTATTTCTATCTAATGATATATATAATTATTGGAATAAATATATATGTCTATAACACCAAACCATCAATTTTTGAATAATCTTAAAACCAATATTTCATCTTTGTATATATTTTTATAATCTAATTTTAACCAATAATTTTAATATCAAATTTTTTAATCTCAAACCTTAAATAAATCCTATCTGAATAAATACATTTCATAAAATTAAATTTATAATTAAAACAATCTTTCAAAAAGTTATAAACTTGCTTGAAAATATTCATAATAAAAATACAACATAATAACATGAAGTTCTTTAAATTCACTGATGTTTATTTGTTTGAATATTAAAATCAATTTAAAATAAAAAACATGTAACCAAACTATATCTTATATACAAATCAACCAACTATGCCATAAGTTCTTGATACAAATTTTAATCAATATAACTTTCAGCAAGAATTATTTTTTTCTATCATATTAGTTCTAAAAATTAAAATATCATAAATAGGACTCATTTATCTATTTAAGTAAATTTTACTTAAATCTTAAATCTTAAACTTGTAAACCTATTCTATTTAGCAAATTATTATCTTTTATGACTAAATTCCAAAAATTAAATGGTACTTTTGATTTTTATATTCTTTTTAAATAATTATTATATTTTAAATTAATTTTTTTTATTTTTATTTATTTAAAGGCTTATAAAATTTTAATTTTTTATACAAATTATTTTTATTAAAACTTAAAATACATCAGACACAATTTTTATGTATATTTTTTTTATTGGTACACAAGAAGATTATTTAAAAGTATTTAATATATATTATTTTAAGATATTTATTATTTATTTAATAATAAATTAAAGAAATAAAAAATCATGATTTTTAAAAGTAAATATTTTCAAATAATACACAAAAATAAAATATAATTTCTAATTATTTATATAAATCTATTTTTAAAAATTTATAAGATTATTTTATAATTTTAAATCAGTCTATTTAATTAATTAAAAATTTAATCAAAAAATTTCTAGTCTAAAAAATCTTATCAAATTTATAAGTACTTTTATATAAAAAGGTTCACGCATGCACTTAATTGGTTCTAAAAGTGAAAATCAAATACATCATTAATTAACTAATATATATTTTTTTCATTTTAATATATATATATATATATATATATATTTATATATTTATATATATATCTAAAAATTAAGAAAAATAAATAAAATCCTATTCCAAATATTAGTTTAAAATATTTTTATATATTCCTCTTTTTTATCCAACAAATTAGTATAATTTTTAATAATTGGCCTCAAAGATCAAATATTTGTTGATTTAATTTTTTATCACATTTTTATTTTTATTTTTCTTTATCAATGTTTTAATCTTCTAAACATTGCATTAAATATATATATATATATTCTTTTATTTGTAGTTTTCTATACAATATTTGAGTAAATTAAGATGTTTGTTTTATAAAAATATTGAGAAAATAATAAATTCTTGCCACTTAAGCAGAAAAGAGATGTGATTTAAGTGTTTTTAATAAAAATATGAGTATTAAATTTTATTAGATATTTTTACTGTGATTTTTTATTTTTTTTTATCTGGTCTTTACTTTGAAGATATTGCTAAAATAGTCTTAAATGTTAAGAAAAGATGTTTTAAAAAATTATTCAAAACCAAAGCAGTAATAAAAAAAAAAAAAAGGTAAATTTATGATATATATATATATATATATATATATATATATATATATAGAAAAACATACACGATTGTTTTGAAGGTTTGTTAGATTTTTTCTTATAATTCCAAATTAATCTAGTACTATGATTTTATCATATTTACATGGAATTTTCTGTGTCAAAATGAGCTTGAAAGTAATATTATATACTATAATCATGCAATAAAGATATTTTTGGGATTTAATATTTTCTTAAAGATTAACATTGTTTTAATTGCATCTCCATCTTTTATTTTTAAGTCTATTTTTATTTATTGTTTTTTTTGGTTTTTAGTAGTTAAAATGATATTTTTCTATTTATTTCTTTAAATAATATTTATTAGTTTTATAAATATTAATAGTGCATTTTAAAATCTAAATTATACCTCTAAAATTTATACAGACCATGTGTTATGTACATATACATGTAATGAAGAAATCTAAATTTGTCTCTTCTTTATGTTTAAGTTAATTCGTGCCAAAGCATTAGAATTCTGTAACATATAAAGTATCTTTAGTAGAATTTTTTGTTATAGCTATTTTTTAAAAATTACCACAATCAGTTAAAACCACAAATTTTAAATTGTTTTTAGCTTATTGAAATTGTTAATTTTACTTCTTGCAAAAGAAATTGATTTTATTTATTATGTTTTTTATTTTATTTTTAGAAGATGGTTTTAAAGACTATTTTAAAGTACTGAAATTATCAATTTAATTTTAGAGATACATGTTTAGAAGAAAAAAATTGCTTCTATATAAAAGAATATAAGTACTAATTTTAAAGTAGTTAATTTTGCAAATCAATATCCAGTAATATTTAACTTATATCCCATTTTTAAAAATTAGTATAATAAACTTTATAAAGATTATTATGTAATAAAATATTTTACCTACCTATACGTGTGCTATATATATATATATATATATATATATATATATATATATATATATATATATATATATATATATATACACACATTACTTAGATAATTGAAATAGTTTAAACTTGTGAATTATTTTTGTGAACCATTATCTTACCTTTTTAGATAAATAATGGATGTGTAAGCCTCTTTAGATACACCATGTTAATAAAATAACATTATATTAAATCATATAACATTATAAATTTAATAGATTAAATGAACTACTATACAAGATTCAAACAACTTGGACATTTGTTCTCCAAGTCTAAGAATCTTCAAGAAACATCTTCATTGCCTTCTTGTAAACAACAACATATAAAAGCAATACTAAAATAATTCTTAGTCTTCTTAATATCTATCTTGTAATTTAGTCTTACTTTAATTCTGATTCCTTTCTTGTGGGAAAAAAAAAAAAAAAAAAAAAAAAAAAATCTTTATTTTGCTTTATTTTTTTAATTCATCATTACCTGTGTATTAAACCTCTTTGTAATTCTCTGTAGATTTATTTGATAAATTTAGTATTTTTTCCTTTATACTATTGCTAATAATACGTTAATTGATTTTGATATGATATTCAAATAAAAATATATATGTTAAAAAAGTATGAATTTAAACTTTTTTCAACTATTCAATTTTAGTTTTTAAATCTAAAAATATTTTAGTTTCTTATGAAAGTAAATTAAATTATAATTTTTTTTATTTAGCATTTTATTCAATTTATAATTTAAATATTGCATTTCACACCATTCTAATAAATATTTTTCAAATTAATTTTAAAAATACTTAATAACACAAGTATTAAGTATCAAAATCATAATATTAAATTATTACATTATTTATTTGTGATAATGATATGATAGAAAACATCACAACAAATGAATAATATTTTGTGTATATATGTTAAAGCAATAGTTGAATTTCTATATTAAAAAACATGTCCATTTTCAGTGTGTTTTCTTCTAAAAGTATGTTAAGTTTTTTTAAAGACTACAAGTTATAAAGTTATTTCAATTAAGTTTAGATTTGTAATTTCAGACAACACTATTTTTTATTTTATTTTTAATATACATACAAAGTTTAACATAATTTCTTCTTCAATATCTATATCTATATATATATATATATATATATACACACAAACCATTATGAAATTTTTAGGCTAATCATTCCTTATCAAGATTACCAAACTACATTTTAGAATCATTTAACACATATAAATAAATAAATAAGTCCACTAAAACATTTTGATTATATCTATGTTAAGTCATCATAATTCGAGTACAAGTGGATAATTCATCAAAATAAAAACCCATTGAACCCCAGATGGAATTTTCAACAAAATGTTTCAAAATTCAGTGGAAATGTGTGAAAAATGAAGCGTCAACATTGACGGAATCTTTTTCTAATACACCACAACACCTACAACCAAGGGAGCCCGTAACCGCGGATATTGATGGTGAGAGTGTTGGCACTCGGGGCTCTTGCCAACCCAATATCGTGGCCTTGTCGCCGAAACCTTCAGAATTCTGAAGGTTGTGACATCACAATCGAGCAGTCGCATGCTCAGAGTCGATGATAACAGGCAAAATGTTGCGGCTGAAGCAAACGATGGAATGATCTAATTGCCTGGCAACAACACTTGCCTTCGAGATTCAAGTCAGCGCCGTGATCGATCTTTGGTTTGAAGAGGCGCGAGAGCTTTGAAAAAGCATGAGCTGCCACAGCTATGTTGGGTGGAGGTGGAGTGTATCTTCTCTACATGGAGGATTCGGGATGGAAAAGCTAAGGGTGAATCGGAGGCAGAGCAGCTGCAGCAGCAGGGGAGGGCGAGGTGAGCTCGTTGCCGTGAGGGCCATGAAGGGTGAGAGCAGGGAAGAATGTGTGCTGGCGATTGATGTGGGCACCGGGGGTACTAAGGCAGCTCTGGTAAACCAGCTGGGCAGCGTGGTGGCTTCGGCGTTTCATCCTCACCCTCGGCCTGCGCCTTCTTCTCGGTAATGGTTTTTCTTCAACTCGTTACAACCTCCACCTTCAATCTTGTCAAGATATTCGCAATGTCGCCAGATTTTGCTTAATTAGCTGCTGCCTACGGAGTTGTGATGCGTTATTTTGTACATTGTGGATCTATGTCGTTGATTCCTTCTTTGCAGTTGAAGTTATTCCTCGGAGGTGTAACTGGTGTCCGTGTGCAACAGGGGAGGACCAGCAAGTGTTGAGCAGGAAGTAGAGAGCTGGTGGTGGGCTACTACGCATGCTGTGCAGGCTTGCTGGAATAAGGGCAGCGGTGGCGTAGTGCGGGCACTCGCTGTCACGGGGCAAATGCAGAATGTTATCCGCTTGCCCAAGGCATGCGAAATTAACACTTCGCCCATGTGTTGAATAAATGAGTGATTGTCAAATGCATGAGTCAGATATCAAGGGTGACTCGGAAACGCTAACATTTGTTTCGATCATACAGAACTATCTCGCACACTTACTGTCTGTTTCAACTTACTTCACCGTGCAATGGTGCATTTCTTAATGGCATTGTGATGTGAGCGTCTTTGCAGGATGGAAGTCAACCTATTCCAACAGCCATCCTGTATTCTGATGCTCGGGCTGCAGAAGAAGTTGCCGAGGTATTTTCTTGGTAATTTTTCAATCGGTGTGAAGGGCAAAGAGATTTTGGCCAAAGTTTTCGTAGATACGTTGCTTCCTCTGTTCTTGCTTGAACTGAGGTAAAAAACCATTAAAACTCGGATTTTGAAGGTTAATGGGATGGCAGGTGGGCCTGAGTATATTTCATCTATAACTGGGACGCAACAAGGTGCCTCCAGGTAGAGAGTTGTTTCTAAGTGAGATTTATTATTATTATTATTATTATTATTATTATTATACATTAATTTATCCTTCTCTCTTTTTTTGTGTTTTTTTGTATTTTTTCCCCTTTCTTTTCCCATTATGTATTCTTCTGTTGGTATGACTAGAATTTGTTCATTTTATTTCCTTATGATGTGTAAGATCTGTTTGCTTTGTTTAGTTTACTAGCCAAGCTTCGTTGGTTGGACAAGCACGAACTTAGTGCTGCTGAGCAATGCCAAACGCTCTTGTTTGGAGGGTAAATTCTCTCTTAATTCTAGCCAAACTCTTTTTTCCTGAGATATTGGAGACTATTGCTATGAGATATGAAAATGCGAAGGGCCATCTATAAAGTGGTGCTATTGCTTTCGAGTTGTTTACTTTATCTGCCTGTTTAAATCCTTGTAGCTGCTTTTTTCGATCTAGCAGATGATGATCATTCTTTATTTGGTGACAGGCATGACTATGTTGTGTGGAAGCTTTCTGGAGCTTTAGCCACGGACAGCACCACAGCCTCAACCACTGGCCTTTTGGACCTTTCATTTCACGTAAGAAGTGGACATCACTTAAAGCAGTGTGCATTAGAACCACTCTGGAATTCATTGTCTTTAAAATCCACAGCCGTAACACTAAACAATTTGGCATGAGTACCTTTTTTGAATTAACCTTGACAATGTTAGTATGTTTTTATCTGCATTACTGCTGACGGGAACACATTTTACTCGTATAACCTCTATTAGGTGCTTCAGTTTTTCTGGCTTTCCATGGCAAGAGGGCAAATCAAATAGAGTATGAATTGGTTGATTTTGAGGACTTGTTGTTGGAGTGCAGTATGCTGAAGATCTAATTCATTCAGTGGAGTTGGGGCATTGGATGGAGAAACTACCTCCGATTAAGGCTGCTAACATACCTTGCGGTATGTAAATTTAAATTTGCATAAAATGCTCTAATTTTGCCTCCTATTTAAATTGTGCACTTCCACTACAGTGAATCTGTTTTCGCTGCTCACTAATCACTTGGCTTTTGGTTATTGAGGTTCGAGGGACTCTCATTTATCATGCGTAGAGATTTGCTGGAAGTTACTGTTTGGCATGTGAAACAGGAGTTGTCAGTTCAGAAGCAGCTGAAGAACTTGGAGTGGTAAGTTTAAAGGGTGTTCCAGTGCTTCACTGTTGCGGTGACGCAGGTGCGTGCACGCTTGGGTAGGTCTCGATTTACTTTCTTCAGAGCACAGCATGAACGATTCAAAATGAACTTCCATACAATTTGGTCTGGCAAAGGAAGTATTTTGGCAAATAAACTGATGCTTTAGTGTTTTCTGCTTCATGGTACTTACTCGAATAGTAATGTCTTTGTTTTTCATGAGGTCTGCTGATGTCGTGAGATTATTAAAGATCTAATGCTTTCCTCTCGTATTGCAGTGCGGGGGCAGGGAGTCCGGGGAGTTTGTATGCATATATAGGCACTTCTGGGTACATCACTGATCTTTCACCCACTTAGTAGGAAGTCTCCATCTGCATTAATAGATATTTCTTGATTTTCACATTTATTTAGGCCAAGAAATCTGTTGATTCGTATGAATAGGAAGCGATCTCAAAGAGACATGGAGACACCAACGAACTAAATGTATCGCATGGTGGTGTCTGTGATGATGTAGGTGGGTGGCAGGATCATTTCAGGATCAAGTTGATATTGAGGTAGTCTTTCTTTGTCAGTGAACCCCATCCTTAAGTCGATGTATTTTTTCTCATCTTCTTACGAAAGTAACTATTTAAATATAAGTAGTTCCTATGCTGTATGCCAAACTATGTCAGTTGAAATTGGTTGTCTAATTCTTACTCTTTGGATTTAATTTACCGCAGGCTGCAAAACCATCTGGTGTGTTTAGGTTGGGACACCCGGACGAATCATTGGTTTTCAAAACTGGTACTGTTAGGCTCCACTGTCAGTCAGCCTCCGTGCGCCTTAATGCAATTCGCAGATGTAAATTGTAGTGTTCTGCAAGAGGGCTCTCACATCATCAGAGAGTCGCTTTCATGTTCCGCCTCAGATGTTCTCAAGTGCTTGAAAGTATTCATGTGACATAAGCGTTGGTTTTGTAGGATCTATAATGACAGCTGGAGGTAATCTAGCATGGTCCGCTGCAAATATTGGAGGTCCTGGTAAGGTTTGCGTGACTAGAACATAATTCGGTGGTCAATTTTTTATTGATGTCAGCATTCAATCCATTGCTTGCTGGTTTACTGACAGCTAACAAGATTCCTCGACAGGGGGTACAAGCATGGAAGAGATTGATCGTATGGTCAAGTTAGAAGGTGCTGGCTCTGGGGGACTTTTGTATCTACCTTATCTCAATGGTATGACTTATCACCTTGTTGCTTTCTCCTGCCATATTAAGTCCAAGTGATCAGCTTCTGTTCTTCAATTGTCTGGAATGCACGAAGAATTGCACGTAATGGAAGGATTTTAAATATCTTGCAAAATCTGGGTCCAGGGTCGTAATCCACAAATAGATCCGTTTTACAAGCTGATTTAGTCATCTCGTGATAAGAGCAGGAGAGAGGTGCCCGTTTGAGGATGGAAGTGCTCGTGGATGCTTTCTTGGAATTTCAACATCGACCACTAGTGCACATATGTTTCGAGCTGTGAGTCGGCGCATTCCTTCTGTTGATTGATATCTCGGGATGCACTATTTCTGATGCTTTATTGGCGGAGTGCAGTCAAATAGATTCCGAGAGCACCAGTCAAATAGATTCCGAGAGCACCAGTCAAATTTATGAAGCCCATACTTATGTCCTTATCCTGGTACATTGCAGGTTATGGAAGGGGTTGCTTTTGCAATGCGTTCCAGCCGTGATGCTCTGAATGGCGGATCAGCACCAAGCTCTGGTAGTGACAGTCTACTTCGAAATTGCAACTTGTACTATACAGAGATATGGTTTGGAAATAGGGTCTTGCTGTTCCTGGGGGCATTATTAACTATCTTTCAACTGGTTTAATCAATCACTTGCAGGTGTTACTCCACTTCGTTTGGTTGGCGGCGGAGCCAGGTCTACTATACTCTCTTAAATACTTCGCTTTGTCTCCAATTTGTGACTTGCTTTATCTGTCAAATCATGAAGTGTCGAATTTGTTTTAGAGAATGAATTGACATTCTCGTCTTTCTTGTTCGATGCCAGAAACCACTAATCGTAGGATGCTTACAAATTACAGCAAACCTGATATGTGCAGATCTCCAGTGTGGCCTGCCATATTTTCGGGGGTGTTCGGGCAGACGGTTGAGGTGCTCTCAGATGCCCAGGTTTGTAAATATCCCATTTAATAGAACTTCGGTATAGTAGGTTCAAAGTGTAGGTTTTAATGATTTATCATGCAGCCGGATCACTTCAGAAATAGTCTTCCGATTATATTCTAAGCTTCTGTGTAAGGGTTGTTTTGGGCATTGCAGGAGGTAGGCGTGAAGGGAGCTGCCCTACTTGCTGGTCAGTGGCTTGGCTGGCACTCGTCACTCACACCCGAAGGTGAATATATCCGCTGACCTTTGAATCCTCTTTCGTGTATTTGCATACACGATGAAAAGGCAGACAGCGGTTACTCTAGGAAGACTAGTCTAAGACGTTAGTGACTTGGACGCAGGAAATTGGGTGCAGAAACAGCAATCATTTGAACCTTCGCCTGAAGGGGTTGAGTTCTACAATATATTGTACAGCGTCTACTCACAAGCTTATGGAGGAGTGAGAAATGTATGCCAAGAACTATCTGCATTGCGTAACCTGTGAGATATAAGTAATCCTTAAACGTTAACGTCTACTTCACGAGCTACCTTCAAATTTTCAGCTGAATATTTAATCCTGATGCGAGAAGATAGAACAGAATTTTTGTTTGGGACTCGGTCTAGAATTTTGATCATACTTTTAATCTAAAGAGCAGTACTACGTTTAGAAGAGAAACATCTATGCTGACGCAGATGATAGCAGATTATATAAAGCATCTACGTTTAAACGTGGGAGAGAGGCAGGGCAGGAAAAGAATGGCTTCCTGTCGAGTCTACCTCACTTGAAATAGTGACTCAGATTTGCAGCTCCTAATACCTTTTCACTTCGGTCTTCCTATGGAGTAATTCATGGTCCAACTGTTGCACTTTTGATGTTTGTTCTCAACACCCCTAAAAGGCTAATGCTTATTTTTCTCCAAGTTCTCTATTAAGTAATGCAGTGTAATGTTTAACTTTCTGACGGACCGTGAAGCTGTCGTGGCCTTTTGCATGCGAGAGGCTTGACGAGACACTCATCTGGAGCCTTCAGCGATGTACCAAATGTTAATTCATCAAAAGCCTGGGATCGGGTTGATGGTAGTCTCTCTTATGAACTCGTTAAAACAAAAATACGACTTCGAGAATTACTTACCTAATTGGCTTTTATTGCAGAGCAGGAGCTGTAAGAGCAAAAAAAAAGAAAACTACGAACTTGGCTCACGTATGTACTGTTTGGATTGGGCTACAATTTTAAATTAAGATGGTAGTTAGCAATTTCTGATTATTTTATACGGAGGTAATATGGCGCAAGCATGATCGCTGTCTACTCAGGAATAACAGAAAAAAAAAATACTTCGTCCGGATACCTGTAACTTAAGAATGGAGTTTCTCGATAACAGAAGAAAATAGCAAGACTACGGCAGAGCGGGCTTCATGCAATGTGCTTCCAACCATGTCGACCCAACATCTCGAGCATCGATTGTAGGCATTCTCTCACGTAAATCCGTATTTCTGTGACTTCCAGTATTATCAGTTCTTCCACTCTTGATGACAAGAATATCTTCACATACATGGGATTATATTGCAAGTCTGAAGTGTATACTAATGAGCAAGAAATGTGAAGGAATCGGATTGATTGATTCACTTCAGAATCGAGTTTCAGTACCAGGATTTACGAATTGTAGATTCTAAACCAATCTATGGCTCTTCCAACACTCTGTGAGTAATGTTCCACGTTCTCTGGATTTTCCGGTTAATCACAGCCGTTCTGACATCTGTTGTGAGCGTGGCATCATTCACTTGAGAATGAGCTTGTGCTTGGGGTCTGGAGAGAAGCGAACATACCTCTCAAATAGCTGCGTTAAACTTTCTACGTATCGCGCATGGAAATCTTCTATACTTTCGTCTTCTTTTGAAAATAGAGGTTCTCCGAAAACAAGAAGCAGTTCCCTGGGGATACCAAGCAACATTATCAGAACTCGCATTTGAAGCAGGGAAACAAACGCCTTTCATTCTAAACTAAGTGTTGCAGAAGAGATAGTCGAAAGTTGAGTTTGGTGTGAGACAGACAAGAGATAGAGGTGCTTGTTTACTTGGAATAAGGCATCGGCAGATTAAAGTATCCTCGCATGAAGGGGACTCCAATCTTCACATAATTGTTTACCCATTGCCAGAAATCCAAGAGGAATCGAGGATCGTGCTTGAATAACTGCACAGATGAAATTATTTTAAGGGCTTCGAGTGCGCGAGTCCATTGGAATAATCTGAGGACAAACAAGAGTCTGAAGAGAATATAGTCATAATTCAACATAATACCCACTTGATTTTCGTTGAAAGCGTAGACAGGTACTACTCCGGCGCCCTCGTCCATAGCTATCTGAAGGAATCCCCTCCTGACAAATCATGCTTGAACAGAGATAAATATAATATCCACTGTCGGAAATCAGGCAAGCCCAAGTACTATTGCAACAGAAGCAACTAGAAATAGAAGTTTCCGGGCTAAACGTAGTAGGGCAAATTAAGCAAGAAATTACCTCCTCTTGATGTACAACACATCTGCATCGACTTGGGTGCCCAAACATACTTCCCTCACGCCACCCACTGCGATAGTTACCTGCAACGTGAAATCAAACAGGGTTCAAATATGTGAATTGAATAATGATACATTCAAGGTTTCACCGAAAATGAAAGATAATTCAGGACTGTTTGATGAAATGAAATTGAGCATGTGGATGAAGATATTCACATGATCCTTATTCCTGAGCTTGTCAACAATGTTCTCCTTGCTTGCTGGCATAATCCCAATCATGTAGAACCAGTTTCTGGCAAACGGTGCATAGAAAAACCCTCCCGCGGCAGTTTGAAACAAATCACCTACGAAGGCAGGGCAGAAAGATAATCAATCTCATCTTTGAAAAAAGTTCCAGAAACCACAATTCAGCAAAAGAGGAGTTTAAAGCATGATTGGTCAATTGCTTGTACCATGGGTGAGCTTGAGAGGCGCTCTCCAAATCTCATGCAACTGCGAGAACAAGGCATTAGAGTAGAACATACGCCCGTGCGGATGAATTGCGAAGATGTAACCCTTGTCTTGTGGGAGGGGCTCCTTAGGCACAATGATAAACCTGGCACTCGGCAGGTGAACAGCTAAAGCCTCGTACAAGACTCGGACCTTTCGTCGGACAGTCTTGGAATAGTAAGGCGGAACGACAAGAAGCGAAAGCAAGAACCCAACGTAGATTGTCAATCCAGCGTAGCTGCATCGCTGCTGGAGGTAGTAGGGAAGGTACATGAACAGGAGGATGTGGGGAATAGCAGTGAACGGCAGCATGTGGTAAAAGATTAGTACAAGCACGGTGCCGACCGTGGTGGAATGAGGTTTACAGAAGTAGTGAAATTGCGGCACGGAACCTCCATCTCCCTGATTGGATGTGACGCCACTCTTGGATCTATCATCGTTCACAGTTTTGTGTGCTACCTCCAACTCTTGCCTCGCAATTCGTGAAGTATTGTCTAGACTTCCCATGGTACGAGATGATAATCTCTACAAGATCGAGCTGTCTTTTCTCTGAAGCCGGCAATAAACTGTGAACCCACTATTCCCTACTCCTGGATTCTTCTGGATTCTGTAACTGCTTCGTGCTTCTTCATATACCCATTCTAATTCAATCAAGCAATCGTCGATCGCTTCATCTCTTCCTCACTACCGTTACCTGCCTTTAACCAAAAACTCAAGGATTCACAGATCGCAGCACCCAGAACAGCACACGACTAAAACAAGCTGATGAAGCAAATTCTCCCGTAACTGACACTCAAAGCTTAGTGAACAGTCTGCAGCCAAGGTCCTCCCACAATTAAAAAAAAAATCACTACAGTATGATTATATGCGCAAGTTACAGAGAGAATGCAGTGCTGAACTAGAAAGAGCAGACAACGATGAATCAACTTGAGCTGAAGTGGTTACAATCGGGCTTGGTCAGATGGTAGGCCGGCTTCCCACAACGTCAAAGTGTACGACGCTAGTAGTGGTGGTGTTGTCGAACGCAGTGAGTTCCACCAATTTAGTTTTCCTTTTTCGATTGCATCCAACAGGGATCTCGCGAGGTGTCTCGTCGGTAATCGCGCAACTGGCATCCCGCGCTTCAAAGCGGCGGAGGTGCACTTGTCAGATCGACATTTCTCGTGAGGAATTCCATGCCGAGCTTATGAAAGAGCTGCGTGTTACCACTTCGCAACCCCCGTTCGGTAAACTTCCCGTCGTTAACTATATAGTAGAATATATAGTTAATCTATATCTAGCTAGTAAGACAAGAAAATAGACTAAGAGGATTTAATAAAGCCATGTTTAAATGTCTTAAATTACTATTCAACTAACATAATTAAATATTAATCAAAAATTTATTTTTGATTATATTTTCACCATATAGTTGTGTTCTAACACAACATCCACCTCCCTTTACCTGTGCACATCCTTTGATATACTCCAATTGAATCATGTCATAATTGGCTTCACACCATCTCTTTATTTTTTGCATCAATTCCTTTATTATTATTTTCACCATCCATTTTAGTATAATATCTTCTTTAAAAATATTGATATTTTCAGCATGATTCTTCACATTGATTTTTCTATCTTGTCTTTTGAATATCTTTGATCGCTTCCCAACAATAGATATCTTTAACCTTATACCATCCAAATCCTTCAATGAATAAGTGGCATTATCATGGATTGTTACTACTACATATAATCTAAACCACCATTTTAAAAACTTTCACAAAATATTGTCTTAGTTATCCAAATTATTGTCATAAATAAGTATCCAATCACCTTCTTTAATTGCTTTAGGCATCAATTGGTGTTGTTTATTAAACCAAGCCTTGTTTTCTAGCCTAATCTTTTGTAATCTTCTCAATGATAGCTCTACATATTTTAATCTTTGCTCAAGTTGTCAAATTCTAATAGCCAATAAATTTTCTTTTGTCAACCCGTCTTTCCAAAGTAACATACTCCAAGTTGGTATATGTTCTTCAATTAACATAATAGGTTTTTAACCTATCATGAGTTCTACTAGCATATATCCTATTACTAAATTATGTGTTGTTCAATCTCCTTATAATACATAAGGTAGAAGTCAAGGCCATTCTTTTATTCTTTCTTTGCAAGCTTTAACCAAGGCTATTATAATTCACAAGCTTTGTGTGCATCCAATTTTTCACAATCTACAATAATCTTTTCCACACATCTATAACAACAAAAATATCATCTTTAAATACATCTATAACATCTTTAAACAAAAACTTGCAAATTTCTTTTGCAAAATTTGTTCTTAGTGCCTTGCCTTCTTTTTGATTTGATAAATCTATACTAGCCAAAATTAAATCCCTCATTTGCCATACTCTCATCGTCATAATAATCAAATCTACAACTCATTTAAAATAAATAGTCAAAGAATATGTTGGATATAGACCACCTCAATGTGATATATTTGAATACATTTGACAAGTTACACAAGATTCTACAGACAAAGCCTTATCTTGATACATATTCTTCTACCAATATTATTCCTTTAATTTAACAAAAGTAGCCCAAATTCCTCTATGCCCTATCCATAGACTACCATAAAACTCCTTGAGTAGTTTTTATTGATCTTCCTTAGTATCTACTACTTGTTGTGGCATTCCAATGTTTGATTTTGGCCTCTTCCAAAAAAATCCTCCTTATAATATAAACTTCTATGTACTATTTCTAATCTATTTAAATTTTTTAATTGATCAATTAGCATGCTTGGTTAATGTACTCAAATAATGTTCAATATCTAATAACTCTTTTTTATAATTTTTTTCATGAAATGACTTATCTTTCTTATTTAATTGTGAAACTAAATAAAATTTTGTACACACATCATCAATTTCTTCAATCATCTCATCTTTTCTATTATATTTTGCTCAAGATAGCATATTTGCTATCAGATTGTCTTTTCTTGCAGTATGCCTAAATTCCAAATTTAATAACTTGATATAAGAAATCCATCTCAATATTACAATATCTAATATTATACAACTAATAATCATTCAAAGTAAAGGCCAATAATTTGTTTCAATCACAACTATTGTTCCTATTAAATAATCTTTTTGAGCTTTCATAGCTGAAATAATCCTCCATAATTCTCTTTTCACTTGTAAATAAGCACATTAGCAAATACTTAAAACCTTAGCTCCAAATTGGATTACAAATCTATGTCTATTCAATTCATTTTAATCTATAGTCTATCTAATAGCAATTGAATTAATATCCATTATAAAAATCATTAGTCTATTGCACTTATAATCAATTTTTTCTCAATACTAGAGGTATTATCAATAATTTCTTCAATCTTTGTATTATTCTAATATGCTTTTCTCCCAATTTAAATCAATAATCTTTGAATAACAGCTCATACAATGGATCCATTATGTAAGCATAGTGAGGAATCCAAAAATAATAAAATAAATATGCATCCAAAAACCTACATACCTTTGTTGAAGAACTGCAATCTTTTTTTATTCTTCCAATTGCATCAACTTTGGTTGGATTTGGTTTTCTTCCATAAACTTCTCGTCATGAACGATATTATTAACTATTTCATACATAATCTTTTATGACTTCTAATTATAGAATATGAGACAAAGAATCAAATCTTCATCTATGTCATTGACTATCAATGCTCGATAATGTTAGTGTCAGATCTAAGTCAAAAAAGAAATTAATAGACTGAATCTTCTTCATGAAACATGTACTTTGAGTATGCGAATATGAAGACTGAAGTGCGAACATCAATTATATGAAATAGGTACATGTAACCCATACTTTGTTCATTATAGTCTTTGATTTTGTTATCACTTGGTAGTTTATTTATAGTATTTTTTTATAAATATATTTTTTATGATAGTATGATGTCTTATATTAGTCATAGTTCAATGAAATTACTTTAAATAATAACTAAAAAAAGTATAGGTATGTATGTAAATATATTTGTTATATAGTTTTTTTTGTAGAGTATAGATTATTTGCTACTAAATCAACACCATATTATTTATTGGTTATAAAATTTAATAATTTTCATTGAAATCTCATCATTTAAATTTGAAATTGATTTTAAAGGTAATCATTGCTCTCAATATTGTTTCATTTATTTATTTATATTTTTTTTATTAATTTTATTAAAGAAATTTACATGTGTGTGTGTATATATATATATATATATATATATATATATAAATATATATAGTCAAGTTATGTAATAAGTGATGCATATTCTGTTTTAGTTCTTTTTTTATTTTGTCTTCTTGTGATTCTTAAAAATTAATATTTTATTTAAAAAAAACTTATTCTCTTAGCATTATTGAATTTTGTCAGTCTATTAGTTTTACAAAATCCAATATCCAAGTAATAATTAAACTATCAATTGTGCATTTGGCCTACAATACAAATAACTAAAACTTAAGCAATTGTTTTTATTTTCACAAACATAATATTTTTACTTCTTCAATAATTGGAAAATAATCACTTTAGCTATCGGCTTTAAAAATGTGGATTGTTGTAAATAAAAGTTTAATCTTCAATCTACCAAAAAAAAAATTTGTCTCCCTTTACCATCCTAATTCCTTTTATTAAGTGTATTTATGAGCATGAATTCCATAGCAGGACCACATATTCAGAAATGATGTAAGAAATGTTTTTAAATATTAATTTATACATAAATAAAATACATTGCAATAAGATGAGAAATTAATATTTATTTTTAATTTTGCTACTTCAATAAGACATAACATATGCTTTTGAAACCTATATAATTTAAGATCTTAGAAGTAAAACTAGAGTGTTTTGTGGCAATAGTGAATGTTTTTAATAAATTGGTAGTTTTACTCCAAAAGAAGAAAAAAATAATAAAAAATTCATTTCAGTAAGAACTTATACAAATCAGTAATGTAAAAAAATTACATAATCTTTGTAAATCAAATATTTATGCTATAGAATGTAATGAAAAAAAAATAAAAAAAATAAAAAACCAGGTAATAAACTGTCAACAGTTAAAAATGTGAAGATTGACAAAAATGAAATAAGATACAACTTAAAAATAATATAAATATGTTACATAAGACTAAATTTCAATGTAACTCTGATTATGTCAAGTAATCCTTGTCATCCATTGTAAAAATAAAGCTACTAATAGACTTATTAGTTTTATTTAGTTACAAGAAAAAGTAAAAGTATTGTAATGAGAAATTATATATATACTAGTAGAAACCCCTGCCATTGGCCACAAAAAAGTTCCAAAATAAAATGTAGGAACTTATTGTCTTATGCCATGCAAATCTACAAAGATTAGTACTAAGTTCACTTACAAATGGGTCAATCCATAAAGGTACAACTCCTCAAATGTAATATAGTATGAAGAAGGCATGCAAGTGAAGATCATAACTCTTGAAAGATTGTGAATCAATGAAAAAAATTTACAAATTCAGATTTTTTTTAATGGTATTCTTTATGAAAAAAATTAAAAATGCATTATAGTTTTACAAATCCATTGAAGCATACTGAATTTTTGCTATAACATTTTAAAATAAGATTTTCTATAATATATATATATATATATATATATATATATTTTTTTTTTCATTCATTAGTCATATTATATCACGACAATGTTTACATGTCTTTTATCTTATTTGTCCAATTATATGATGATTGTATATAGGTGCACTATTATTTAAGTCATTTCTATGTCCATCTAGGACATCTAATCTTCTTCTTCCTTATTGTATTTTCATATGTCATTCATCATGTTTATATTGTCTTGTGGCATGATTCTCTATTTGGAAATATATTGGATACTTAACTATAGAGAATTTAGCTTTAACTTATTGGATAAGTTCCAATAAGTGATGTTTTCTTATTATAAAAGCCAAAGAAATATA